GAAAGCGCTCAATATCGGTGATAGAGTTAACATACTTAGTTGAATTGTTGTGAGTTTGCAACCCTGGGTTTCACGCTCCTGCGATCCTCAGACAGACACTATATATATATATATATATATATATATATATATATATATATATATATATATATATATATATATATATATGAATAAAGACAAAAGAAAAACTTACCTAGACGACACGTTTTGTCTTCTGAAGGACTATATCAAGACAAGTGCAAGGATTTTTCTTTGTACTTTTAAGTATTTAAGAACAAAAATTTCATTGGTTTTTCAAAAATTTTAAGTTTAGGAACGCTTATCAGATTAGTTGAAAACTCTGGCAAACTGCGAATTTTTTACATTTTTCAGATAGAGGTATCTAACTATAATAACAATAATAAAAATGTCGGTTGAAAAATACACCCCATATATATATATATATATATATATATATATGTATGTATGTATATATATAATCATTTCTCTGTAAGTAAGGCAAGGCAATAAAGCCACTAAGACGCAAGGTGAATAGAGAATATGAGAAAAACAGTTTTGGGACAGTTTTACACATTCTTTGTCCAGAAAAGAAAGCTTTTGTTCGAACACAAGAAAAATTAAATAAAAAGCTTAACCATAATACCTTGTCTGTTGTTTTTAATGAAACATGCATATATATATATATATATATATATATATATATATATATATATATATATATATATATATATGTACAAAATTGTCTTAAAATGTTAGTTTTAGGCGTTTTTTTAATTTTAGGATGAGGTTTTCATTGTGAAGTGTGTCAAACAATGTTTCTCAGAAAAATTCTTTTTCTCATTAATTCTGGTAAAAAATATAAAAACCTAAATTACTAGGCGATCAGTTTCTTTCTATCCCGTTTTTTGACATGACAAACCCAAACTACTTTAACTGTTGCTATCGATAACCCGAACCCATACCCATAAACCCATACATACGCGACCCTATTAAAAGCTCTCTCGTCTATTCGATCGAGGTCTGTTTGGAGAGGAAGCAGGGGGGGGGTGAAGTAATTCCAAAAATCAGTGGCCGTCACCGCTATTAATGCACCGCTTTTCATAATTGAATCGAGCACTGTTGGCTGATGGCGATTGTTTATATCCGTATACAATACGTTAGAATTTTCCCTTCCTCTCAGACGTGCACCAATAGCTTAGGGGTATGATCTGATGAGCTGTGATACAGAGAAACAGGCCTGTATGTGGATGACCCACACACACACTGACAGACACATTCAGGCACCCCCCACACACGCATATATATATATATATATATATATATATATATATATATATATATATATATGATCGAAATAAAAGTATAAAACTTAATATTACGAGACATATTAAAAACATTCCGCCATATGCGAACACCTATTAAAGAACAGAGATTGTGCAGCCAAATTTGGTGTTGACTGGTTCACTGTGTTGTCCCGGTCTCACTCCTTATTTCATCTAAAGGTTCTGGAGGCACTTTACATCGGGTCCCGCAGGCCTTTTTGTGTAAACAACGTGAGTGTTTGTAGGGGCTCGCTGTTATTTGTCTCTAGTTACTTTTGCTTTTTTTTTTTCACAACTTCCTTTTATTATACGTTTTTCTGTGTTAATTTGAAATCTCCGTTGAAGCCTGAAGAGCGGGAGCGAAACCGGTTGCTTCACCGTTTTTAATATGTCTCGTAATATTAAGTTTTATACTTTTATTTCGATCATTAAATTTTTGTACCTAAAAATATCTTTAAATATATATATATATATATATATATATATATATATATATATATATATATATATATGTAAAGGCATAAAGATTGTTGGCATTGATAGTGTGGATGATTTCCTGAACATTAACTTCTTAAAATCGAAAGTCAATCGTTAACTATCCTACATATTCACTCCCAGTTTGATTTTCTTCATTTCATATCCACCATTCAGTAACCCACTACCTTCAGAGGCTCTTGAGCCTTGTATTGGGTAAGTTTTAGTAAAAACATTTTTAATAAAATGAACGCAGAACAGCGATTTCACTTTTCACGCGATCATTTATTTCTATATGTATTCTATCTCCAGTATCGATCATTTCTCATGATAAACAATATATATATATATATATATATATATATATATATATATATACAAGGTGTATCAAAATACTTTGGGGGCGGCTTACTCACACAACACAAAGACAAAATTCCATATATGTCCACAAATTCATCGCTTTTGAGTTATTAAGTTTAAAGTTTACGGTAGACGCTGTTAAATTATACAAAGCAAAAATACTTTTACAAACTTTGGGAACACGGATCCTGTCTTAGCAACCCGACGATAAACAGCAGTAAAGGTTGGAGGACTCGGCTGCCTTCGGTCCTGAAACGCAATCTGATACAGCCGTGCAATCTCGCGTCCATTACAAACCGTGCTGCCGTATGTGAACGAATATCCTGCCATTGATAAATAGATCACTTCTCAGTTAACTCACTACTACACACGTTAAACGTTGAAAACAGACAAGCCACAAATGTACAAGAATGACAAATGTAACCTAGTCTATATCGTAGCACAGCCCCGTCTACCATAAACTTTCTTTAAACATAATAACTCAAAAACGAAGGATATGAAGACATACATCTGTCCTTGTTTTGGTATGAAGAACCCGATCCCAAAGGTTGTAATAGTAGTTTTAATAGACCTATATATATATATATATATCTATTAGTTGGTCCCCGTTACAAGAGTCACCACAATTTTGATTTAAAAAAATGCTACTCTAATTAAAAGAGAAAACAATTTACTAAGACGTGCATATATATATATATATATATATATATATATATATATATATAAAAGCATTACGCCCCGAGCAAGGCGTGAAGCCCACTAGGATGCAGGGAGTTGCAGAATATTTGGAGCGAGAGCAGATAGGAGTGTTAGAAGAAAGGATGAGGAGAGGGATAGTGGATAGATCAAGGTAACTGGATGTGTCGATTGACATTACATTTGATTATAGCTCTCAGGGAAACAGTAATTGGGAAGGGTGTTCCACAGGCGAGAGGTGCGAGGTATGAAGCTATTGGAGTAGAAGAGACGGCTACATTTAAAAGTTTCTACATTGTAAGGGTGGGAGCGGGATGCCAGCCTCGTAGGGCGCTCGAATTATGGAGTCTGGGAACCAGTGAAAGCAGCTCATCGGAGCAATTACCATGAAAGTATTTGTAGAAAAGACAGAGAGAGGCGACAGCGCGTCTGTGAGAGAGTGACTGTAGACGAGACGCCAGATCAGGGCCAATTATATTACATATCCATCTCTGGATCTTGTCAAGAACTCCGAGGTAAACAGAAGGTGCCCCAGACCATATATGGCAGCAATACTCCATGCAAGGGCGAATATATATATATATATATATATATATATATATATATATAAAGTATACTGATGAAACGCTCTTGGCTCTTGGTCTGCCAAGAAATTAAACTTTTACCTTCTGGATAAGTTTCTGAAAAGGATTAATTTGACTCATTGGCTGATCATACTTCTTGTTTTGATTGGCCCCAACAATTGAATATCATAATGTCTAACCTAATATAAGCGATAATATATATTCTTTGAACAGAATTTATATTGGATCAAAAATATTATTATAGACCAGTTTCTTAAAGGCTTAGGAATTCACATTTGAACATTTAGGAATGATGAATATGTGGAAGTTCTTCAATAAATTAATTTAAGTGATTTTATTTAGATTTAATGCAACTAATTGACAAAGTTAATTTTATAAATACAGGAGTATTCAATTGAATACAAAAATCCAAACCAATATTATTCTATATTGTGAAAAACGCCTGTGTTTGTTTGAAGAGAATGGCAACTTATGCTAAGGAATTATTTTCATAAAAGTATGATTCGTGCTATTCGTCTTTTTCATTATTATTGTTGATATAATTTATGTACTTCGTATATAATTCATTTTCGGGTAGAACTTGGCACGTTTCCGACAATGTTATGAAATGCTTTCACTGCAGTTCTTCAGTCTGAGTAAAGTTAACTTATTCGCCTTGCATTAATCTGGCCACACACCTTACATCTATAAATCCTGAAAGCAAATATCTCCCAAGAAATGTTAATCTAATCGGAATAAACAATGTTAAGTGCATTCTTAGAATAAGTACTGATCCTCGCGCAATCTTTGTACCCTAGGCGTCTAACCAACAAATAAGCAGATTCATCAAAGAATACCACAGGAAATGCTGTGTTGTTAGGAAAGAGACATACATAAAGTTTATGGGTTACTTCTTTGGATATGAGACTGTTAAGTGTTAGAGCAGATCCGCAGGCTGAGTAATTTCTTTTAGAACTTGATTTTATTTATTAACATTTGCCAATGATTTCTGCCTTTGGGTCCTACCTTACAGTTTCAATATCAACTTAGAGAAAGATAATGAAAAAAACAGACAGACAGACAGACAGATAGATAGATAGATAGATAGATAGAAAGAAAGAAAGAAAGAAAGAAAGGATTGAGATAGATAAATAGAAAGAAAGAACAGACCGGGATCTATAAAACAACAAACTGAGATAGATAGATAGATAGATAGATAGATAGATAGATGAGAAAAACCAATAACATACACAATTACGAATATACTTTATCATCTGGTACCCACATATAATGTTTTATACACTTAGATACAGATAAGAAGAATATTTACGGTTTTTAGTGAGGCTTGAAATCTGTTAATTTCGTAAAACATCGGAGAGACGCGTCATCTTTCCTTAAATTCGAAACATCACAAATTCGACGTTTTAAAAGAGTTTAATGCACATGATACATGACTGACCAATGGAAATCAAACAATACAGTGTAAAAATACCAGAACAATACAAAGTGAAAATACCAGACGCGTATATTCACAAGGCACAATGTTTAAAATAATAAGAAATATATATTATTGCGTGTGTGACATACGGCTGTATCACAGGGAAACACCAGTTCCCGTACGATCAGCGAAGTTAAGCAACATCAAGCCTGCTCAATATCTAGATGGGTGATCATTTGGAATGACATGTGCTGTAAGCTTGGATGGTATAATGGATAAGTGTTAATCAGTTCCAAATCAAGCTTATTCACTTATGCTCAAATACCCTTGGGAAAGGGGTATGAATCCACGTCTTCTCCCTTCTCCCCCCACCTTCAGCTATAAGTTAATTAGTAAGATTTGTATCACTAAAAACCATTATTATCTCAAAAAAATGTAGAGAAAATTTTTAGAATCTGAAAACATTTTCTAGCTTGAACTAACATACAAAGGGTTGATAAGCCGTAAAAAATGAATCAGTCAATCAATGAAATACTTATTTATGAATATATGTGTTTGAATAGACGTGCTGTTTTTTTTTTAAACAGTATAAATTATGTCTACCGGCCTCTACATCCGCCAACCGACGTTTAAAATTTGCGTCTTACTTTTAGTGGGGAAACAAGCATCTGATTGGATGTGCTTTTGAAGGCTCAGCCATAAAGAGCTTACCATTCAAATACACTCTTTAAGAAATGCACATCCGTTGGGCGGATCCATTGAAGTCCACTTCTTGTAACTTTATTTTCGTATTCGAATCATAAACAAAGTCATTTCAAAGTGATTAATAGATTTTACTTGCAATTCTACATTATTTCTTATTACTTAAGCGTTAATTTTAGTGGATACATGCCATAGAGTAAACGCTCTACTTTTTAACTGTGTAAATTACATCCACCGTTCTCCACATATATCCCCTGATGAGTGAACGGAGTGATCTCCAGAGAATCCATCTACAAAATTCTGAAATCGGTATGTAAGGTAATCAATAAGCTGAGGAATCTTTTACTTGTACTCACTCACTCACTCACTCACTCACTCACTCACTCACTCACTCTTTCTCTTTATCTCTCTCTCTCTCTCTCTCTCTATATATATATATATATATATATATATATGTACACAGGTACGATGAGAACGAATAGAGTACACTTACAACGTTTGTAACATTTAATTTTAAAGAGGGCTCAATATATAGAGCTAAATTATTTATTTTAGGATATTACAAGAAAAACATGTAAGAATCGTTACACAACGGTAGTCGTGTTTCAACGCATAATAAGGAGTCTCCTCGGGCGATTGAAAAATTACTGGCGAGTGAACGATTAATTTGGTTTCAAAAAAAATTATCACCTCTGTTTTTGGAATATATATATATATATATATATATATATATATATATATATATATATAAGGATGATGTCTTTACCCTGATCAACCAATTGAATATGACCTACATTAAATTCAAATTAAGCCAAAAAAAAAAAATCTTAAAAATGTGGCATGGCTAGGAGTTGACATAACAGCAGCCAAGCATTAGCTTAAAGACTGACACAAATGGTTACAATAAATGTACACATGCCAGACAGTCATAAGAATAAAACAGGGGGTGGAGAGATGATTTCACCGAATGCACAACTAGTTATATGCTTTGTCGATTTCCTACATATTTTTTTATAGTTGATAAATAAGAAACTAGTAAATAGTCTAAAATAAAAATTATTTGGTAAATACTATGCAACCGTTAAATAAATATCATCCATATATGTTAATAATATCAAACAATCAATGTAAAATTTCAAAAACACTAACTAAATACCAATACATCCTTATAAGATGTTAATAATATTACCACGAGATCAATACAGAACTAAATTAAAACCAAATTAATCAACAAATAGAAAGATAAGCCATATATGGTGCAACACAGATCAACTAAAATCTAAGAAAAAACATTGTCAAATTCCAAAGTTTAACTCAATTGTAAGGTAAAAGGTAGACTGTGTTTACAATTTACAGTTAATTCGGATCTTTGATTTAATAAAGAATTTTTATCCAAGAACCTGATAATTTTCAATTTTTCATGTAAACACATAAAAATGGGTTCATATAAGGATCTACATGTTCTTGCTAATTTTAAAATTTCCATTTCACCTAAGCAGTTTTATTATCATCTTTTATACTCCAAAAGTATTTAGAAAGGGATTTATTATTTCTATAAAGTTGATAATAATATGATCAGGTTCTTGGATAAAAATTCTTTTTTATATTATATACCAAATATTTACCATATTATTTACCAAATAAATCTATATATTTAGATTATTTACTAGTTTTTTTTTTTAAGTGGCCTCTTATTTATCAACTACAAAAAAAATTATGTAGGAAATCTACAAAGTTTATAACTAGTTGAGAATTCTATTAAATTACCTCTCCACTATTGCTTTTATTTCTTATGAAACTTGACTGCCTGGCATGTGTACATTTATTGTAACCATTTGTATCAGTCTTTAAGTTAATGTCTGGCTGCTGTTAGATGTCAACTCCTAACCATGATACACTTCTAAGATAATATTATGTATTTTTTCTTTTCAGCTTAGTTGAAACACGACAGCAATTGTATAGCGATTCTTGCACATTTTTGATGTAATATCCTAATATATATATATATATATATATATATATATATATATATATATATATATATATATATATATATAGCAGTTGTCTGTGTGTATCTGTTTGTGTTTATTCTATTCATGTACGTCCAAATTTTTCGACCGATTTCGATGAAATTGTCCACATATGTTGAAAATTTGCCAAGACCACCCTCACCTCGGGTTTAGCAGAAAAATCGATAAAAGTGAAGGTAGGTACGGCTTTTTGCAAAAACCAACACAAATTTACACGAGAACAAAATTTTTATTGGGTGAGCTGATGTTCTTTGGACTTAATGCGAAACAGCTTATCTTACGTGGCTTATGTAGAGTGCTTGATAGTTTTCCTGTGTTTTGGCTTCACAGACAAAATTGTAAAAAAACTGTGAAAAAAATCAGGTTTTTTGATTTACTTGAAATAAAAACTTAAATAACTTCCTCATTTTTATCCGATTTCCTTCAATCATGTAGCAAAAACATTGCCATCATGCAAGAAATGATAGCGCGGTTTTAGTCCTGCTCGCTTCCCCGTGTATAAGGAAAAAGTATTCAAAAAGATCGTTTTTCGGCCATAGCTCCTTGGTTTTCACCCAATGCTTTCCAAATTCGCCATGTAAATTAGATATGACACACAAATTGTCTTGCGTGAGTGTTTGGTTTAGATTATTTCAGTTGGACGAAAACTGCGACAAACTAGGTTCCAAATCGGCTTTTGCTATTTACCCAATAGATTCTTCATATGATTCCATCCTAATTTGGCATTCGAACTTTTGATGCAAAGATTGTTTGAGAAGGATTATTGAAGCATTAAAAGGGAAAAGTTCCCAAAGAACCTCTTATTAAAGCCCAGCTTTACAGTAAACATGCAAAGAAGGAGGGGGAGTTCATCCGTTTGAACTTGCAGTTGAATCAAACTCTGATGCTTCATTCCTGCTTTTGTTTGATCATTAGATTTGTGAACAGTGCCATACTATTTGAAAGTTATTACGGTCAGAGGAAATTTAGTGAATATCTAAAACATTGAAACAATTTAACCCCCGAGCAACGAACCCACAAGAAGGTTTTCACGATGGAATTCCTGTATTAAGAACAATCAAACACTTGCGAAGGGCATACCGTAAAAAGATGAAAGTGGGGAGTAGCTTAGCATACCAACGGATGATGTATGCAATCGGGGACGAAAGCAGACATTTCTAGACAGTGAGTGCGGTTATACAATTGCAGCCATGTACACGTGGGCAACGCCTGGTACCTCGGATAGTATATATATATAAATTCTGTATCTGGGAAACAATCCCTCTTTTATGTAAGTTTCATTAAGTACGACTGATAAAATATTGGTTAGGATTTTTATTTTTTCTTGTGCCCCAGAAAAGAAGAAAATTATAAGAACACAAGAAAAATTAAATAAAAAACTTAACCTATACCTTGTCAGTCGTATTTAATTAAACTTATATATATATATATATATATATATATATATATATATAATTACCACAAGGAATACATTGGCGAAACTTCAAGGAATTTAAATAAAATATTACATGAACATAAAAGAAATCTTTTACAAAACTATACATTAAATCTATTAGTTGCTCCCCGTAACAAGACTCACCACAATTTTGATTTAAAAAGATGCTACTCTAATTAAAAGAGAAAACAATTTACTAAGACGTAAATGTTTAGAAAGTGTTTTAATCGCTAGATCATCCACTGTATCCCTGTAAGAAGAACATATTAGACCCGAACTACAGCCAGTCACGATGAACGGGTGTCTCCTCAAGGAGGCACCATGCAATGAGAGGATATTGGGCCTCAAACTCACACTCGACCTCAAGTGGAACTCATATATGCGATCCATCACTAAAGATGCAGGTAAAATGATCGGCTCTCTGTACCGCTCAAGTAAGTACCCGACTCCACGTGCTACCCTCTACCTTTACAAGAGCCAAATTAGGCCCAAAATGGATTATTTTGATTTCAAAAATGGAGTACTATTGAGTTCAAAAGCATCTCGAAGTCCTTGTAGGAGAAGAATTATTTTCCACCCTCCAACTTCCCCTCGAGGAGACCCTGTGCCTCGTGAGGATATTGGGCCTTAAAGTCACACCTGACCTCAAGTGAAATTCCTATATACGAACCATCACTAAAGATGCAGGTGAAAATGATCGGCTCTCTGTACCGCTCCAGTAAGAATCTGATTCCTTATCCTATTCTCTGCCATTGTAAGAGCCAGATCAATCCGAAAATGGTACCGTTGCCATATTTGTGCAAGAACGGCCCAGACCTCATTTTCCAGTCTTGATAGAGTTCAAAAACCTTGTTGGAGAGGAATTTTTTTTTTATCGACCAACCTCTCTCTCACAGAGACTGCGTTATCGTTACTATCATAGAAAGTGCTCGAACGAATTACATTTCTTGGTTTCACAAGGTCTAACCTTCACAGCTAGAACCCGCTATGCCACTTACAAACCGCTTTCATTCCCTCCGTATTCCATCGGCGAGAAGTAAGATCCACTCAAAAAGCTTCTTCCCACAAACCACTGCCCTGTGGAACAGACT